ATTCAGCAGGACAGAGGTGATAAACTGCTGAAACACCCTGTGTGTGACTCATCCAGATGCTTAAAATCCATGTTTGTCCTTCGCTTGCCTTTCATTCTGTGGAATCTGTTCACTTTTTCCTACTTACAGTTTTCTAAATGTAGAGTATTTTAGAGTTTTCTCATGCACCATAAAAGTGCTCCATATGACTCATGCCTATATTAAAGTCTTCTGAAGTCATGATAGCTTTGTGTGAGGAACAAAAGGGAGCTGAATTAATTATTCACTGAAAATCTTCCTCTCTGTCTCAAATCTCATTTGCACTTCCACATATTCAAACTGGCAGATCTTTGGTTTGGCTTTGAGACACAACCAATAGCGTTTCGTGTTCACGTCAAACTTGGTGCAACTTACACTACCATTCAGAATGTTTGCAGTCAGTTCGATTTTTTTTTTCTTCTTGAAAGTAATTAATTCTTTTTTTCAGCAAGGATGCAGTGTATTTATAATGTTATGATGTAATGTAGGTTCTTTTGAATGAATCAGTTCATCATAGTTTCTGCAAAAATATTAAGCAGCACAACTGTTTTCAACATTGATAAGAAGAAGAAATGTTTCTTGAGCACCAAATTGGCATATTAGAATGATAAAGGATCACGTGACACTGAAGACTGGAGTAATGATGCTGAAAATTCAGCTTTGCCATCACAGGAATAAATTACATTTTAAAATGTTAAAATAGAAAACAGTTTTTGATATTTTAATAATTTTAATAAAAAACAAATACTGTTTTAGCTGTATTTTTGGTCAAATAAATTCTGCCTTGATGAGCAAAAGAGACGTCTTTCAAAAACCTTTTTTTTTTTCCGTCCCCCCAAAAATTTTTAAATGATATTTGAATACATTACTGGGACACAAAGGAGATTTGATAACTGCAGGGTACTTTTGGTGAACTGACCCCTTAAGTACAGTTATTTAGCATGTACTTCTTTTGCACAGGCAAGCTTTGGTCTCGGAGCATCAAAGTAGCGTACAACATCCTCCACAAACTGGGCACCAAGCAGGAACCTATGGTCCGACCAGGAGACCGGGTGAGTGTGACAGAACTTCTTACCAGACCACCTCAGTAAAGCACCTCATTAGTGGAACGTTCAATACTATTAAACCTCTACATGCTGTCGATTACCACTGAGAAAACTTTTTGGTTAAGAAATGCATGCAGGTTTGGAACGGTGGACTATCTCTTTAATAACTCAAATGACACAAAACTCTGCGTGTTTCTGCATTGAAACCCTTCGGAATGCTTTGCCCCATAGACTTCCATACAGTATGTGCAATTTTGTCTGTTTTTACATTCTGAGGGACGGGTCAAAATGATTGTCTGTGGTAATCGCCAGCATGCTGTAGATGCTGAACATAGAGCATAACTTGTTTTGAACCCAGAACATTTTTTAATGACAGAGTGGCATTTCCTGCCGCATGCCTCGGTTTTAAAGCGTGTCCCTCTCAGATTAGAATACGCTTGTGTTTGAAGTCTGACACCTTTCCTCTCTTATCACTTCATGAGCAGGTGGCTCTTGTGTTCCCCAACAACGATCCCGCTGCCTTTATGGTCACCTTTTATGGCTGCCTGCTGGCAGAGGTGGTGCCTGTACCCATCGAAGTGCCACTTACCCGAAAGGTGAGATTCTAAATATACCACCATGAATGACTGTCACGTTTTCAAGCCTTCACTTCTCGATTTTTAACACCATAACCAGGGCTGTACGTTAACTTTTTTTTCACATAGCACTGGTGCTACAGAGGTTGAAAGTTTTGTAGCACAGGCCAAAAAGTTGTAGCACAAGTATAAAATGTCTGTTATCATGCCTGAAACAAACACAAGTAATGTAGTTCATCACTTAAACAGGCACTGATGTTCCATACAGAGCACAAAAAATACAAACCATCACAAAAATTATTTTTAGACAAAATTTTCTTAATTTGCTAAAAATGGAAGAGTGCAGAAACATAACACCTCTTACACATTTGCAAAATAAAAAATAAATAAGAATGCAGACATTTAGGCCAAAGTAAGCAAAGATAAAAATCTTTCTTTTGTGTTCAGCACAAAAAATAAATTAATACAGGTTTGGGACAAAATGTGAGTAAATGACAGAAATTAAATTTTTGGGTGAACTATCCCTTTAATGACAGTGGCAGCATGTTTAGTAGCTACTGTCCCTTTAAGAGCTGCATGCGGTTCTCTCTCAACTGTTTACTTTAATTTTAGACATAACCAACTGCGTTTATATGTAAACCTTGTGTGTTTTTGACAGTATTAGACGCAAAATCAATCAGACGCGACAGACAACTTAGTCCAATAATCAGGCGCTTTTTGACAGGCTCTCAGTGTGAGTGCGCTTCATGAGTACGTGAATTAAATGTTTAACCGGTATGGCTTTAAAGCAGATGGAAATAATGTAGTTTTGTGAATGCGCATAAGTGCAGTGTCCTGTGAGAGTAACTCTACCGCTGGCGCTGAGTTAACACTGATGTGAATGCATGTGGCGTTGTACAGTATATTGAGACGGAGGAGGCACCAGAACTGCAGCCGATAGAATGTGCGCTGTAGCACGATACAACGATATTTCTTCAAAAGCAGATCGTGGAGACATTTTAATCATCAACCACCAAAAATCGTCATATCGCACACCCCTAACTACCAAGTATAATCAATCTCACACACACAAACAAGCACAACGAAATCACTTCTCACTATTAAGCGGCTGTGTTATGAACATGCGAAACGGTATCGCACGTGTGCTACAGTGGTAAATGTATTCATCGCACAGACCAGTTTTTTAATAGCACGTGCATATATGTCGCACTGTACAGCCCTGCCATAATGCCTACCCACAATCCTTCTTCCCAGCATGGACTCACATTGTCGAGTGCCAGCCTGACAGTCTTTACAGTGCAAAATATTAATATTTATATATTATTCATGTTTAATGGTAAAGTGTTACAAAGGCCTTCTGGAAACTTGGCCTTGTAAATAATGTAGTGTCTCGTTCTCTGGTCTGCTGTCTATTTTTGAGATCCGTTATCTTTTCGGAATGTCAGGGTGAATGTATCCACGTGGACCCATTGAGGCTGAAGTATTGCCTCAGATACGTATGTTTGAATTTTAGTGGTCGAAGTAAAGGAGGAGAGCAGCTTTGGCAAGAGTCAGTCTGATCCCTCGTCTGTCCAAAAATTCCAGGAAAGGACCTGGAAACTGGCAGAACACTCTCTGGCTTCCTCTGCATGCATTGCACTTCGGAAACCAATGAACTTCTGTCCAGTGCAAAAGTAGCTGTGTGTTTTTCTGCATTTTTGACTTATAGCACAGCATAAGTCTTACAGAAAAGTACTGTGCAAGAACTGTGGTGCAGTGATTGTGTCCAATGATACTTAGATGTAAATTCACATTTACGTTTATGTATTTGGCAGCCACTTTTAAATAGAGCCACTTACCATGCATTCAAAATATGCAATTTCATGCATTCCCTGGGAATTTAACCCATGACTTTGGCATGGCTTGTCATGCTTTACTGTTTGAGCTAGAGGATCACCAATACATGATACTTAATGATTACCATATTCACATGGTATTTGCATGGTATTTATAGGTACTTTGTAGAATATCATGACAGTACCATGCTACATGTGTAGAAAACATGGTAATATGGTAGTTTGATATATATATGGAGATGGAGTACCATGTACATACCATAGATCATACATTTCAGTTAAAAAACGTGATAATATCATGGTACTTTGATATATACCTTAGTACTGAATGGTATTTACATGATACTTCAAGGTACTTAAAATATTACCATAGTACCAGACTTAGTAGTACCATGGTACTTTAATATATATCTTGGTACTGAAAACATAATCCTGAAATCATACTCCAAATGCATCCAAAAAGCAATGGTAGTATTATGTTAACAAAAAAACTTGGTAGTGCTGTGTTACTTTTTTAAGGGTACTCAGGGTTTTACCATAGTTTTTTAACTTTAAGTACCATGGTATATTTCAAAGTACCATAGTGTTTGTATCTGATAACAAACCTGTACCATGGTATCGCCATAGTCACAATGCATTTTGTAAGGTCATGTCCTAAAACCATGGTGCATTTTTTTGCAAGGTATTTTTTGTATATTTTTTATATTTTACTATGTAAAAAAGGCGACATGGACATTTGTCAGGTAGAGGTGATTTTAAAACTCCTCCATCAAAAATAAAAGAGATATTCAAGCACACCGCAGTATTACGGGTAAACATAATTTCTGTGCTGTCTGTAATAAAAGTAGGCCGTCACCTCCCCTGCAGTGTATTTTGCTGCTGTACTGATGATGGATGTTAGTTGGTCTTATCCTATTACTGTGTGTGTGTGTGTGTGTGTGTGTGTGTGTACTAGGATGCAGGAAGTCAACAGATCGGCTTTCTCCTGGGCAGTTGTGGGGTTACTGTAGCTCTGACCAGTGACGCCTGCCACAAAGGCCTTCCGAAAGGACCCACTGGTGAAATACCACAGTTCAAAGGTCAGTCTGTTTATACACAACTTCATATAAGTGATGTATAGTGTCACATAGACAGACTTGTGATTTTCAGAATAAAGCCTAGTCCATTTTACAACTTAAAATGGCTAAGAACCGCTCACTTAGACAGGAAGAGACCATCTGATTGACATGTAAACAACCAATCACAGTTTGTGTTGTTGTAACATCCCATTTAGCAGCCATTCAGATTAGAGTCTTTGTACACTAACGTTTAAATCTTTGGGATCGGGAAGTTTAAAAAAAATATATTTTTTAAGAAATTAATACTTTTATTCAGCAAGGATACATTAAATTGATCAAAAAGACATTTATGATGTTACAAAAGATTTCTGTTTCAAATAAATACTTTTTAAACTTTCTATTCGTCAAGGAATTGTTTCTTTGCACAAACATATTAAGCAGCACTGTTGAAAACAAACTGTTTTCAACATTGATAGTAATAAGAAATATTTGTGGATTACCAAATCGGCAAATTGCAAATTATTTCTGAAGGATCACGTGGCACTGAGAGTAATGAAGCTGAAAATTCAGCTTTGCATCACAGGAATAAATTTCATTTTAAAATATTACTAAAATAGTGAGAGTCTGTGTGGGGCAGCGAGCGAAAATCAGGAGCATGATGGGCCGTATCATGCGTGTGATGTTATCTAAGCCAGACCTCTAGCAGTCAGCGTTTTTTGCCTTGTCTGGGCCGCAGTAAGACGAGAGAGGGTATAAATAGAAAATGTAGAGGTAATGAGTCTGATATTGTTGTAATGATTAAGTAGTCCTGAGAGGATAGTCATTTAGCCCGAGACGGAGAAAAGACGGACTTACTCCCATCCCAAAGCACATAGCCATCATTTAGCCAGTCACCCTAATCACTCACTATCATTCTTTTGAATGATAATCACCACTAATAATGATTATGATAGTCATGGTTGACTCATCAAGCCGCATGAATATTAATAGAATGGTATGAATATTCATGTTTTCTCTCTGTTGGGTCTCACCCACTCATCAGGATGGCCGAAGCTGCTATGGTTCGTCACGGAATCCAAACACCTGTCCAAGCCGCCACGTGATTGGTTCCCTCATATAAAAGATGCAAATAACGACACCGCCTACATAGAGGTAAGCTAACCCATGGAATTATGACCGTTATGGAAATATCAGGTTATTCAAATAATTTTACTGGCTGTACATACAAAGATTCTCCCGAAATGGAAGCCATCAGTCTGGGTTTGTTTTTCCATATGCTGCACCCACCACCAGCCACTTTAATTGTTTTATGATATCTGATTGGTAGATATTCTATGTCTCGAGCCCCAGAAATCAATATTTCCTATCAGCATGCCGGGCACAGCTGCCTCCATTAGAGAGTCACTGGATAATGGATGATAAATGATTCATGTTTGTTTAATTGTGAATCGGGACTCATGTAGGAGATGCTGGTTGATGGAGTGGGGCTGGTCTCATGTTATTGAACCAGTTTTGAGTGAGCTGTCTCAATGTTCCTCACCAGATCCCAGAAATCTGAGAGTCTGTGCAAAGTAGCCGGGTGTCAGATGTCCAGTGTTGGGCCAATGTTTGCTTTCCGTTCTACTGTATGCCTTTTCTGTACAGCGTGAAGAACATGTCCAGAAGAAAATATATCACGCCTAAAAGCAAAAGAAAAAAATAAGAATTTATATTCTATGTATCTATGTAAAGAAAATAAAGCCCTTTTTAGGACCATTGGCATTGTTAACATTTATCTTCATGACATAATGCACATTTTCCTCTCAAATCTCATTCTCATTACTATAACGCTCATAAAAGCTCATTTTTAATTATGGAGTATGAAAAAAGTATTCTTATTAAAAGTAATAAGAAACATTATTTAATAAAGCACATTTTCCAACATATTACCATTACTGGAAAGCAAAAAAGCTCATTTTTATATTGTTAATATTAGGGATGCACCGATACCACTTTTTCCAGTACTCGCCCAATACCGATATTTTTATTTTTGGTACTTGCCGATACCGATATTTTTATTGCATTTGTACATTTTTTAAATATTGGGTACAGAAACCAAAAGAGTATGTATAATGTTAGTTGGTTAACTTCATTTATGAAATAGATACAGTCAAACCAAAATGTATTCAGACATCTTCAACATTTCTCACATTATATTCGCTATAGTTTAGAAAATGGTAATAAAATATGACAAGAACTCAGAGTTACACTCTGTCAGAACAAATTCATCTTGATAATGTTAGATAATTTTGATAGAAAGGTATGTAATAGATTACAATCAACCAAAATAATTCAGACAGCTGTTAGTATGACAGTATTTACACAACTATGAATACTTTGTCGGGCAACCCTTAGGCTCAGTGACAGTCTGTAGTCTCCTGGGCATGCTTTTTTGGTATCGGGGCATTTTAACGAGTACGAGTACGAGTACAGGAGACCAGTATCGGTGCATCCCTAGTTAATATGAAAAATATATATATTAATATTAAAAGTAAAAAAAAAAGATAAAGAACATTTCCCCAATTATCAAAACCCCTAGAGGACGCAGTGTCTCGTTCCCTACTCAGGGAACCATGGTTAAATAAGTAACCTGAGACGATTTTAATAAAAACAAACATTTTACTACTGTAATTAAATAATGTATTAGAATAATGACAATCTAATGAGAATAAAGATCTCAAAAGTTAAATGTCTGGAAGCATTATGGTAATGAAAATTGTTGGTAAAATTTCAAACTATTTAATAATCCAAAAAATAAGCCTTATTTCTTTATGCAAAATATTATTTCTCATTTTTATTTTAAGTTTAAATAATACTGGACATCGCCAGTCATTTTGACATGCATCCTTACAGTAGTGTGTTAACAGCCATGCAATGCGTTTTTGTTAAGGGATTTGATGCGTTAATATTTGTGTTAATGATCGACATTTATGACTCTCTTGTGTTTATTGATTTCCAGTATAAGACCTGTAAAGATGGGAGTGTTTTGGGTGTGACGGTGACACGGATCGCACTTCTAACACACTGCCAGGCCCTAACGCAGTCTTGTGGATACACAGAGGGTGAGTCCAACACACACACCACATTATACCTCTAGGTCAGTCCATTGTCCTTAAATTTCCCTTCTCAGACAATCATGTAGTAAATATGTCTTCTCTTTGTCTTTCAGCTGAAATCATAGTGAATGTATTGGATTTTAAAAAGGATGTGGGTTTGTGGCACGGCATTCTAACTGTAAGTCATGCTTCTGAAAAAAATTATGTGAACATAAGATCATATGTTTCACATTCAGGGTGTTAATATGTCACTTCCTGTTTCCCCAGAGTGTCATGAACATGATGCATGTAATCAGCATCCCGTACTCGCTGATGAAGGTCAACCCTCTGTCCTGGATCCAGAAAGTGTGTCAATACAAAGGTCTGTCAGTCAGTGGGGTTTTTTCACCCCATTTACACTAAATCCAATTTTTTGGCACCAAAGCTATTTACACCAAGTCAGATAAGTTTAAACAGTACTAAAATATATAATATTGCCAAATAATTTTTTTCACACAAAAGTATGTAGTATTCTTGAGCATTTTTTCTCACCACATGTTTACCTGTATCACTAAATGTCATGAAACTAAATCATAAACAAATAATATATAACAAAATATATTTAATAATATATAAAAATAAAAAAAAATAACAATAGCAAATAATACAGTATTTTCTACTTTATGTGAAGAAATTCATGTGTATGCATTGTTTTGTTTTGAAATAAACTTTAAATAAATTTTTTTTGTGCCAAAAATTTTAACTTGATGTGAATAGACTTCGAGTCTTAGTCTTACTGTTCAGTTTTCATGATACATAAACAGGACAAATTTCTGTATCATTTGTCAATCCTCATGGGACCCCTTACATCATGATAGCTTCATGAAAGATTTACTCAGAAATTCGTTCTGCTCATGTTTCATGAATTTGTCATATGTAAGTGACGGTGTCATTTGATATTGATTTTATATGTGTCCAATATGGCCGTTCTTATGATATTTATGGTTCTGTGTGCTTGTGTGTAGCTAAAGTAGCTTGTGTCAAGTCCAGGGATATGCACTGGGCTCTGGTCGCTCACCGAGATCAGAGAGACATCAACCTGAGCTCCCTGCGCATGCTGGTGGTGGCCGACGGATCCAACCCATGTGAGTTCAGCTAGTGTTTTAACTCTTCCTTTCCCTACCATCTTCCCCTTTCATCTCACACCTGTGTTTCTTAAAATATTCCTCTGACAGGAAACAAGTAGAGGGTTAAGCAGCTAGTTACACACCCAGCAACCTGGCAAACAAGCTAAAAGCATCATTCATAAGTGTGTAATATAAATGTATACACTCAGATATGGCCTCTGGGATTATAACTCACAGAAGAGATGAGTCAGGATAGATGATGCCCAGAAGCCATTTCCTTACGTATACGTATACAGATACATAATACACAAATGGACACACTGAAGGACAAAACATTCCTTCTGCCGCCCATTTCATCCAAATGCCTATGTAAATGCCAGTAAGATACAGTGAATGTGTTTCTGATGGAATATTCAGGAAGCAAAACTGGGGTCATATGAGGGGAAACAGGATTTTTCTTGGTCTTTTGAGATGAAGAGGTGATGTGCTGTGTAGCTGAACATTTATAATGCAAGGATCTCTTTCTAGTCCAAGAACATTTGGGTAAATCTCAGAAAAACTCAATTTTCAATCCAAAAGAAAAAAAGGAAAAGACTTTAGAAGAAAAAAATAATGAAACTTTGAGAAGAAAAAAATGTAAAAATATATGTAGTTTGAAGAAAATATATAATACTTTATTTGTCAGTAGCTTACTGAAAAATCTCATTACTGCAATGCATAATAAATAATATAAAAAAAATAATATCATTTAAATCATTTAAATTAAAGCTTGTAGTAGTATTTGTTGAATTTAGCATTGATTTTTTTAAATAAATTTTTATTTTATTTTAATTTCTTTAATTTATGTATTTATCACAATAATGATAGTTTTAAATAAAATAGTTTTTAATTTAATAAAATCAACATCACAATGCAGCACATTTAATTGTCATAAATAGGCTTGATTTTCTTTATGATTTTGTAATTTCCCATTTTTCTTTTGTTTTTAGAGTGAAATATGACATTAGAGCATGAATACCCAGATTTATACTGTATATTCAAATATATTCTGTTATTTGGCATATCATGATGGACAAAAGTGTGAACAATCACAACAGAAGTCATTTACATATAGAAATCTTAAAGGTACAGTAGTAAAAACAGTCCATTTAATTCTAAGGCTGGTCATGAAAAACTCTTTGGTGCAAGAAAGCCTAAACTTTAAAAAAAAAAATGAAATGCTACAAAACTATACAATATGGCCTTTTTAAACTGGATTATTTTTTTTTTTGTTAACTGTCGCTTTAAGAGCTGTGTTCCCATTGTACCCTACAGTGTTAGAATGCGTCTAAAGGTGAGAACTGTTTTAAATGTCATATAAGGCGTCACATTATAGCACGTCATGTTCTCTCTCTCATTCTCTGCAGGGTCCATCTCATCGTGTGACGCGTTCCTCAATGTCTTCCAGAGTAAAGGTCTGCGGCCAGAGGTCATCTGTCCGTGTGCCAGCTCAACTGAAGCCCTTACCGTGGCCATCAGGAGGTGGGAGGAGTGCTGACACATTGACCATTCACTCACCCTGAAACTTCAGCTCATATTCACAAACTCTCACTTTTCCATTCAGAACTTGTAGATCTTTCCGTCCCCCTTTTACGAGTTTCATAATCCCCCCAAAAAATGGGAAAAAATGACAGAAATATGGACACAAACCATTTTTCTGTTGGTCAGACAGATTGAAGTTGATGGTTCATCGAGAGAGCTTTACCGAAGTCTGTGTATGTCTTCGATGCAATTTTCCAAAACCATTTACAAGAAAATAATGTTTTTTTAGGCTGCCTCCATAATTACAGCCCTGAATAGTCCTGACATCTTTGCTTTGTGACCGAATCAAACTTGTGACAGAACGCAGAACATATGGTTTTCATTCCACAGGATTAACTCCATCGCTGGACTTTTTTTACTGGCCTTCTCTCTCTCACAACAAATTTGAGGATGAGAACAGCTTGTATGAATTTGAACAAAAAGTGAACTGAATTGAAAGCTAATAAAAGAGCCTGGTGTCACAGATGAAAACATCACTGTCTAGTGAAGTCAGAGGGGAAAAGTTGATTCAGAGGTGACTGACGATACGTAATTCCGCTGTTTCTGTCATCAAAGAAGTGCGTCATTGTCATTTGTGGATTTACCACGCAAACTAAACGTAACCTAATTTTTCACCCTTCGCTCACATTTGATTTGGCCTATGTGGTTCACAGAATATTTCTCGCTCTGGTAATAATTTCCTTCCTCATTAGTTCTTCAGCTCTAGATGGTCCAACATTTTTTGCACTTCTGCTCTGTTCCAAAACTTAATGAGCTGCCTACTTAGACAGCATTTTAAAACAGTCAAACAGTTTGACAAATTTGTCAAACAGTATGTACACACCCGACACAAAGGCTGCTAGAATAAAAACATTATTCCGCCTTTTAAGATACTTAATTTTTAGCAAAAAAATGTTTACATTGTGCAATCACCCAGTATGCTGTGCAGGAATGGTCAACTATAAATATTCTTTTATTATATACTGCTAAATATAAAAAATAAAATGGTCAGTCAAATACTTTTGGAACCAACTGTGAGTTTCACATCAGTTTCTTGTAATCTTCCTTAAAAGGCAGCTCCCTATGCAGTGTGCAGACAGCAAGGCAGCGAACTAGTTTTGGAACGGAGCTATCATTTCCAGCATACTTCATCGGCACACTCTGTTTTATGTATTTTGCTCAAATGAAGCCTGCTGTACCTTGCCAGACATCTCTGTTAGCTCAAACGGGTGTCTTTTAGAGGACATTATTTGTGGGTGGGGCTTAGTGCTGTCCATCAGAACTAGTTGAACCAATCAACATCTTCATCAGAACTAGTTGGACCAATCAGCTTCTTATTCAGGTTTACATAGCATTAGAGTCACTGTGAAATAATTCAATATATTGCTCTAATCTGGCATTTTATTTAACATTTTAGGCCTACGGATGACAGTAACCAGCCACCGGGTCGAGGAGTGCTGTCTATGCAGGGTCTGAGCCACGGTGTCATCAGAGTGGACTCAGAGGAGCGTCTCTCCGTACTCACCGTACAGGATGTGGGCACCGTGATGCCAGGAGGTGCACATATGTACATGCATGAATGGTTCTGAGAAAGTCTAAAATGTGGCTTTGTACATAATCTTGTACATTTAGTGTTGAAGCCATCAAAGGAGAGCATTGTGTAATGTGTACGCCTCTCTCTGCGTGCTGTATTTATTGCTTCATAAAGTGCATAATGTGTTTATTGATGTTGTGTATGTGCAGCTCTGATGTGTGTGGTCAAAGCAGAGGGAGTTCCTCAGCTGTGCCGAACAGATGAGATCGGAGAGCTGTGTGTGTGTTCCATCGCCACGGGAATGTCATATTATGGGCTCTCGGGCATGACAAAAAACACCTTTGAGGTTTGTGTCCTATCAGAGCAAGATCGATTTGGCTGTAGTTAGGCGGATTCTCCTACCTAGAATCCCCAGACCTCTGCTCGAACAGATGCTAAAGTGCTCCGAATCAAAGTCTTTTCCTTGGCTTGTTTGTTAAATTGCTCTGAAATAATAAAATAGCATTTTCTCAAGGCCAGTTCACAGAGTCTGATATCTGAAGCCTGTTTTCTCCTAAAGTAAAAAAAGTAAAACAGTTGATTGAGATTACGTTTAAGAAATTAATAAAAAATGTAATCACAAATGTGAGATATAAAGTCATACTATGAGATATGAAGTCCCAATTGTAAGATAGCAAGTTGCATTTGTGGGATAAAATTTCACAATTATGAGAAACAGTTGCAATTGTTTATTTCAATGAGAAATAAAGTCGCAATTTTGAGATATTAAGTTGCAATTGCGACTTGTGTGATATGAAGTAGCAATTTTGTGATAAAACATCGCAATCGTGAGATATAAAGTTGCGGTTGTGAGAGATTAAATTGCAATTTGTCGCAGTTGTCAGATATGAATTCGCAGTTGTGAGATAAAAAGTCGCAATTGTGAGACTTTCCTCACAAAGGTGGAAATAGACTGCCATAAATATGACTAAATGACACAAAAGTATTCACCCTCCAAAACTATTTAGCTGCCAAAAATGTTCAGACATTAATTGTTTGGTAGCCAAATAATTACAATTTTTCACAAGCCTCTAAATAAAATAATGCCAAATCATCTAGGCCAGTGGCGTACAGCAAATCTTGGGTATTTTTAGGTAACTTTTCTAGATTTCTGTCATTAACGAAGTGTAAATCTGTTGAGCTACAGTACTTTAATTCTAAAAGTTTAATCTAAATTTAAAATGTACATTTTCAACCAATCAGTGAACATTTCACCGTAATGTTCAATGGGTGAGAAGTAACTCCATAGCCAAGATTCTAGAGGGAATTTCCACATTTTTATACAGTTTTACATTTACAAATGGATAGTTTTATCTAAAAGTTTGGCTTTTGTTTTGCTGTCAGGTTTTCCCCATGAGCAGTTCTGGGGCTCCTATCAGCGAGTACCCCTTCACTCGGACAGGGCTGCTGGGCTTCATAGGCCCGGGTGGGCTGGTGTTTGTCTCTGGAAAGATGGATGGGCTGATGGTGGTGAGCGGACGGAGACACAACGCTGACGATATCGTCGCAACAGCGCTGGCAGTGGAGCCCATGAAGTTTGTGTACAGGGGCAGGTGAGAACACAACAAAAACAACCAAACAAACAGAGCGTATTCTTCTTCGTCATCAAAGAATGGGTGATATATATAGCACATGAGCTTGTTTGCTGTGGACATGCAGAGTGCAAATTAAATGGATTCAACACCTGCTGAGGCGGCAGGAGTGACAGCGTGTGCCCTGTGTGTTGTGGTGGAGTTGTTCTGTTTTAGATGCTTCTGTGAAATTACCTCGGGTTTTGTTTATCAGCTTTCTTAGACCTTTACATACTAGTTTCCAAGGCAACATTTAGCTTTTTTTGTTTAGTTTAAATTGAAGTACTAAAATAACGCAAACTAAATAAATTATAACTTTAAAAAATATTATATAGACATAAAAAAACATAATGAAAATGACAAAAGCATAACAAAATGACTAAATCTTTAAAATTCTAAAATAAATTGAAAACTAAAATAAATTGAAAACAGTAAAAATAAAAAAAATATATATAATGCAAAAACAATAATAATCAGTCAATGATACTAAAATAGCACTGTAGCACATTTTCATTTATTTGAACGATTCCACAAAATAATGCACTTTAAATATTATTTCAAATATTTGCAATAAATGTAATTATTATAATGAATTATTATTTAGTGTTACAATGTTATAATGAATTATATATTTTTTTAATCTTATTAATCTTTAAAAAAATATTATTTTTTTATAAATTATGTATTGTTAATCATTATAATTGTTGATTATTGTAATTCTAAATATTATAGTTAATTAATAGTCAGTTATAAATGAATAGATGTAATTATTAACTTGTTTATTAACGTTTATTAATTTATTTTTATTAGTTTATTAATTATTAACTTAAATTATTGTAACAATTATTTAATTTTTATAATTATTATTGTTCATTTAATTATTTATTATAATAATAATATTCAATTAATTTATATCCTGGTTTGTAACATACGCAGGTTGAGCTTTGATATGTTTTATGGGTTGGTGCGGAGCTGAATTTTCAGGGTCTAAATCTCCATTATGTATCTCTATCTTCAGGATAGCGGTATTTTCCGTGACTGTCCTGCATGACGAGAGAATTGTGGTTGTAGCCGAGCAGCGGCCGGACTCCACAGAGGAAGACAGCTTCCAGTGGATGAGCCGTGTGCTGCAGGTATTTGTCCTTTTTATAACCACCCTTGCTGATCGATTCGGGCAGTGGCGACTCGCTCTTCCCATCCAGTGTGATGGGAGTCACCTTAATCGCTGCATAACCCCAGTCACCATCCAAACTGAATTACAGATCATGCTACTGCTGACCTGCGTACTTTCTGTCAGCACTTTACAAGTCTTTACCGGCATGCAAAAATAACAAGACGCACTCAGGCACACAGGCTGGCCTTCATTTCCACACACCCAGACAGTTCCATTCCACTCTTTTGTTGTAGGTCATTAATCTTGCAAATATGGTATTTTTTCCTTTCACTTCCTAAATTCCAGTTTGGTAATTTGGTTCTCCCTGAGGCATCGGTAAAGGTCAGCGGCTGCATCAGATCTCAGCTGGCAGCCTCTTCTCAGCTCCTTACGAACTCTATTTTTAAACCTCACCTGACAATCCAATACGTCTCTTTCTGCAGGCGATAGACAGCATCCACAACGTCGGGGTGTTTTGTTTGGCTTTGGTGCCCGCTAACACCCTTCCCAAGACTCCTCTGGGAGGGATCCACCTGTCGGAGACCAAGCAGCTGTTTTTGGAAGGCTCCCTACATCCCTGTAACGTCCTAATGTGCCCTCACACCTGCGTCACCAACCTGCCCAAACCCAGACAGAAACAGCCAGGTCTGTCTGCAGCAAGGTCACCTCAGATGTCGTACAAACTTAGAACCGTCAGAAATGCTGTGTTTGTGGTGTTGTCTGTTTTTTTGTTTGTTTGTGATGGTCTTCCTGTGCTCGCTCCTGCAGAGATTGGACCCGCCTCTGTGATGGTGGGAAACCTGGTCTCAGGGAAGAGGATCGCTCAGGCCAGCGGCAGAGATCTGGGCCAGATCGAAGACAATGATCAGGCAAGAAAGGTGTGTGTGTGTGTGTGTGGTAACATGGGGCCTCGATTTTCATCCATCATTCATTTTTCCTTCCCTCTCATTCATTCATTCCTTACCTCCAGCAAACGGAGTCCCATCCAGCCAAGAATAGACACAAAAATAAGCTCATATTTGTGTTTAAAGCCAGTGTTTCAGTACATTTGAATAACTGGTTCTGAGAGATATAATCTGCCTTGGGGTGTATTATAATAGCTCTCAGAGGAGATGTAGCACCCGGGTCCAAAACTGAGAAAAAGTGCCAGTGAATGAGAGTATTTACAACTTAAGAAATTATATTTTATATTTTGCATTTTTAAAAAACTGCTGCCTCTTGCATGCCTTCCTCATCCTCTCTCTTTCTCTCATTCCTTCACACCCTTCCAGCCCTGCATGGGTATGCGCTGTCTGACACCGACAAATGTTACCTCCGCCATCTGCGCCGCTCAGAGAAACACAGCTGTACATGACTATTTTCCATTTTTACACCCCCAAGCTTGTGGTGTTGTTTTTTTTTTCGTTGCTTCCATCCATTCATGCCTATGAAAATCGGGCCCGTTGAGTGAATGGAAATCGTTTTATTTCATTCTTCTAAGAGGAGGAATGCGTTCCGATGTGAGAATAACTCTAGGAGATGAGGTAACACATGACTGCATTCACTTCCAACCTTCAGAGAACACCAGCGCCACTTGCTAATGACTTTAACAGGTCTTACTAATTGCAAAAAAAAGCATCCTGTGTTTAACAGTTACTCTTTAAATGTCATGTTACCTTTTTTAATATTGCATTTGGTAAAACAATAGATTAAATCAGGCTTGTTTAACACCCACTTACTCGTATGCAAACAATTAAAACAAACTGTGTATTAACATTTTCTGATTCAACTTCTGAATAATGATATGGCTCTTTGGGAATATTATATAATCCCCATTAAATACTTAAATATCTTGGATTTTGTAATAATCGTCTCGGACTTCCTTTTTCCACCCATAGTTCCTCTTCCTGTCTGAGGTGTTGCAGGAAAACTACTTATAATTAAATAATACCACTAGCATTCTAGGTTAAGAAAGTGTAAGCTAAACATTAACCTTGTTTTCAAGTGTGGTCCTGTGCTTGGCAAAAGCCTACAAAAAATGTCTTCGTTTCTGCACCGTTTCCCCCCTCTAGGGAGCAGGAATTGGTTTCATAAATGATGTTACCCTGTTTTTTCTAGGGATACGTTTTTTAAATATGTGGCCATTTAACATCACAGGCTATTTTGAACACCACATGCTCTCCATAGAAAAGTTGTGATAACTCATTCTGAACTGAGAACTGTGAGGAAACTGACACATTTGTGTATGTGTGTGAACGTAGGGAGCAGTCCTGAGCTCACTGACGTGTCTTCAGTTGCATAAGCGGGCGGAGAAGATAGCAACCATGTTGATGGAGCGAGGCCACCTGCAGGATGGTGATCATGTTGCGCTGGTGTACCCGCCTGGTACGACACCATCAGCTACAAATCTACAACTTTAAATCTGTGATAAGTCCAACTATATTCATACTATTATACTCATTTAAACCAGGGGTCTCAAATTATGTGGCATCAGGTGAACAGATGAACAGTTTAGTGCAGTAAAGATGTCCCTAAGATTATATTCAGATAGGACAGCAGACACATCACAATTTGACTTGGATATAATGGTCAGAAATTATTTAAAGGGATAGTTCACCCATTTTATTTAAATTCTGTCATTTACACTCACCCTTAAGTTGTTCCAAACCTGTATGAGTGTCTTTCTTCTGTTGAACACAAAAGAAGATATTTTGAAGAATGTTGGTAACAGTTGACGGTAGCCATTGACTTCCATAGTATTTTTTTCCATACTATGGAAGTCAATGAGTACTGTCAACTGTTCAACTATCCCTTTAAATACACTTGATACATGAGAGACCCATTGAAATGATCTTAGTTGATAATTTGAGACCACTAAATTAGGATGAAAAGTTAAAATCTACTCATATATCTATATGCATTTTTAATTTACAGGTATCGATTTGATTGCTGCCTTTTACGGATGCCTGTATGCCGGCTGTGTACCAATTACAGTGCGACCACCACACCCGCAGAACATCGCCACCACCCTGCCCACTGTAAAAATGATTGTGGAAGTGGGTGTTGTCCTCAAATCCTTCCCTATATAGTTTAAGGATCTTACCTATTCACGAACAGCTTGTAACACTCCAAAGAGAAAGGAAAACTTGAAATCGCATCATATGACCCCTTTAGAAAAATGGCCACTGATGTATGAATTTGTGTTCAGGTGAGCCGATCGGCCTGTGTGATGACCTCACAGGTCATTTCCAAGCTCCTGAAGTCAAAGGAGGCTTCTGCCGCAGTGGACGTCAGGACGTGGCCTCCTGTTCTGGACACAGGTGAGAGCGGGTCAAAGGTCAGGTGGCTTCTTAAAAATATCTAAATGAACATTCATTTAATATCTAACATGTTTTCCAGATGATCTGCCAAAGAAGAAGCCCCCTCAGCTCTACAAACCCTCCAATCCAGACACACTGGCTTACTTGGATTTCAGCGTCTCCACTACTGGGATGCTTGCAGGAGTAAAGGTGAATATTAATCATCCCCTGTTGTGTGTAATAAGAAACTCCTGCTCTTTATTTCCCCAACACAAAAAACAGGAAGAAAACGTTTGGAAACTCATCTCACAGACATAAAACCCTCTCAGTTAGCTGCTGGTGAGATCAGGTGTCATATGCACAGAGGAAGTTTTCTTCTTTTATTGTTTAGTGATGAAAACCAGGTTTTGAGCAGGCAGCCGCTATTATGTCATAGGAGCCACGAGTGTTTGCAGAGACCACCCAGTATTGAAGTCCTGAAGTCCTCAGAAGTCCTGTTCAACCCCATACACTTATATTTGCTAGCATTTCCACATAGCAGCCCACAAAATAACTCATTAGTCCTCAGAGTCTTAATATGAATAAAATAAAGCACAATTGTGTGACATTTAGTTATTAAATGCATTTTTATTGTTTATATATTTTTATATTTGTTGTACATTATACATCATTGCCTTGGCAATAAGCTGAAATATAAAAAAAATATTTTATTCAGTTAACATTTTATTTAGTCTAAGTAACAAAAATGTTTTTTTAATGGTTTTAGTTAACTGTATTAATTATATATGTATTTTAATTTGTTATATTTTTTATATGTCTTCTCAGATGTCCCACACAGCCACCAGTGCCTTTTGCCGCTCTATAAAGCTCCAGTGTGAGTTGTATCCTTCTCGTGAGGTGGCCATCTGCCTGGATCCGTACTGTGGCCTCGGCTTTGTCCTCTGGTGCCTCTGCAGGTGAGAGACGCCGCCTGACGCAATCACAATCATTCTAATAGAGCAGGTTAAAGGCCTGGTCACACCAAGTCTGAATTTACAGCATTGAAAAACATGTGCAACAAAATTTCTACATGAAACAGTGGATCTTTATGAACTCGTTCACACTGTGTCTGCAGTATTGTTGATTTGTCTTTTTTTAAGGAATGTTCAGAGTTCAATAGAAGTTTAGCTCTATTTCCTAAGAAAATTATTTCCATCCCTCAGTTTGTAAAAACAAGCAATAATTGTATTTACAGTTAGAATGGAAGTCTGTGGGGCAAGCCATTGCACGAAATAAATGTTAAAATATACATAATTTTGAATTTAAATAAACTATTTATTTTTAGAATTATATATTTTTGGAGAACCTTTACTTAAGTGCTTTACAGAAAAACAAATATAGTATAATATAAACAGTAAAAACTAATTCAGAGAATAAAATAAGAAAATAAAACATGGGATATTGTATGTAATTCGAGTTTCCACTTATTCAGTTTTTTTTTTTCTATTTTAATATTCCTTTGTTAAATATCTTTCAACCTGTAAGCCGTCAACCTATACTTTGAGCATAAGACTTATTCATGCATACTTTATATACATGAAGTTTTAATCACTTACTAATCTTGGCTGTCTAAAGTTATATGCAGTTGTTACCTCTTGTAACTTAAATAAAACAGATTTTTGCCCAGAAGAATGAATAGTGCTTTCACAAAACTAAAAGTTCATTTTTTTATTTTAAACTCAATTATGAGTCAGTTACTGTAATGATGAGTGTAATAAAAACTAAGGAACAGTTCAAAATGTGGTAAACAACAGCATGCCACAGATGCTGTTATTTTGAACCTGGACTATTTGTTTTTTTGGTTTTTTTTGTTCGGATATGTAACAATTCAGTCACAAAGTTACAATTCATCTTTGGAGTATTTTATATTTCCCTGTCATTTAGTCGCATCAGTGAAACACTGATGGCTGAAACGCTCTGCAGGCAGGCGAGCCGCACAAGTATTGAACCAGTTTCTCAATAGACTGCTGCCTTGAAAAATCTTGGTTTTGTGCTGCGTTCACACAAGTGTGTGTTTTTTTATGCTGTGCTGTGTCTCCTCTAGCGTAAAAGCGTGTGCTCAGCTCCTGTCTCGCTTGACTGATGTGTTGTTCTCCCAGTGTGTCTTATTTGTCAGGGTGGGTAGGTTCCTCTGCTCTTGTGTGGTGTGGTGGTAACGTTGTTTTTTTCTTCTGTCTCTTCCAACTGGGTAAAGTGTGTATTCAGGGCATCAGTCCATCTTGATTCCCCCGTCCGAGCTGGAGGTGAACCCCGCTCTGTGGCTGCTGGCTGTCAGTCAGTTTCGGGTCAGAGACACGTTCTGTTCGTACTCCGTCATGGAGCTTTGCGCCAAGGGCTTGGGCCTGCAGACAGAATCTCTCAAGGTACCAGATTCTCTCTAAAGTGTCAATCATTCGCTTCCTTTCCTTCTTGAGGAAGCTCTGAAGCCATTTTTCGTTAGATTTCATGTTATATTTGCAGCAGTGTCAGAAGGTGATTGTTGGTGGTCTTGCGTGTGTGAGTGTGTGAGTGTTCTGTGTTCAGGAGGTGTGACTGTGTGTAATTAACGTCTGTTCTGAGTTAGTGAAGGAAAGGCCGTCCGTGCCTCCTGGCGTGTCTGTCTTGTAAAATCTTGTTTTATTTACTCTGATTTAGTCAGTGAGATTGCCATAGTTACTAACTGTGGTCTGGAGCCGAGTACAGTTTATTAACATCACAACAATCAATGAGGAGGAAAAATGAGAGACATTTTTTGGTATAATGAGGTAGAACTGTGAAAATGTTTTCTTTTACCCAGACTTTGTCTTTCCAACTCCTTCAGCTCTTCTTTAAATGAAGCTTAAAGAAAAACATTATAATAAATATATAATGTATAAACTGACCCTATTTACTTTTAGTGTATGTTATTCTAAAGAAAAATATTATTATATTATATAATAATATTATAATCCCAATAATCGAACTGAACAAGCACTTTCTCTCTGCTGCCACATGAGCATTTCCTTTTAATTATTGATACACTGTGTTGTTTTAATCATTTATTTATTTTATGAGTATGGGTGTGTGTATGAAAGTATTCAGGTACTGCACAGCAGAATTTTCGTTGCACTTGTGTACAATGACAATAATAAACTTATATTATATTATATTTCTGACTTATTATGGTTATGATTATAATTATATTAATATTAATATTATGTAATGTATTATAATAATAACAGCCTCGATGACATCAGCTGATAAGAAAGAATCATTAATAAATCATTATTAAATATGCAATTAGAATATTTTAATATAAAAACATATTTAAAATGATTGAAATATATTAATATTTACCTTTAAATGTTATATTTAAAACGATATATTACATATTAATTATAATAATAAACAATTAAAATATAATATATTTATAAATAATATATAAATTATAATTTTAAATAAATTATTCTTATTAGCTGGTATCAACAACTCTGCATGGGCTGGGAAAATAAAATCAACCAGTAATATCATAGTAGCATAATATCCGCAATCCAGTCCAGTCCTGATGTGTACATTCAATCCATATTCTACATTGTTATATTTTTTATATTGTTATATTGTTTATATTTGGCATTTTTGGTATGATTATGATTTTGAATATGATTATATTAATATAATCTATTATAGTAATAAAATGCCTTGGTGACATCAGCTGGTGGGAATGAATCGTTAAAAAATTATTACATTTAAAAATCAAATACATTAATATTAAATATATTTAAAATTAATTTATTGTTGCAGTTGTATTTATGTATTTTATATATTTTTTAAATGTTACAAGTTATATATATTTATATTGTGTGTGTGTTTACATATATATATATATATATATATTAGGGTTGGGCGATGTCTACCAAATTGGCATCAGACGATGTCTGAGGGGTCCTTTTTCCAACTCAGTGATTAAGGTTTTTTTTGTCTGACATGTTTGGGGGTGATTCTTTTCTATACCCACTGTGTATGTATGTGTATATATATATATATAAAAAAAAAATCTTTCTTTCTTTCTTTTTTTAATGGTACTAGTTGTTTTAGTTACACAATTTCAAGTTTGATGACTCATTTGCTCTCTTTCTGTCTTTCTCTGTCCTGTCCCTAAGTCCCGTGGACTTGACCTGTCCCGCGTAAGGACGTGTGTGGTTGTAGCTGAGGAAAGGCCCAGGATAGCCCTCACCCAGGGTTTTTTTTGTCTGACATGTTTGGGGGTGATTCTTTTCTATACCCACTGTGTATGTATGTGTATATATATATATATAAAAAAAAAATCTTTCTTTCTTTCTTTTTTTAATGGTACTAGTTGTTTTAGTTACACAATTTCAAGTTTGATGACTCATTTGCTCTCTTTCTGTCTTTCTCTGTCCTGTCCCTAAGTCCCGTGGACTTGACCTGTCCCGTGTGAGGACGTGTGTGGTCGTCGCTGAGGAGAGGCCCAGGATAGCCCTCACCCAGTCCTTCTCCAAGCTCTTTAAAGACCTGGGCCTGCACCCGCGAGCCGTCAGCACTTCCTTCGGATGTAGAGTGAACCTGGCCATCTGCCTGCAGGTTAGTTATGTTTGAGTGCGTGTGTCAGCGGTTAATCTGGTGCTGACCAGAAAACACAAGGCAGAGATTGGGCCAATCCCAATCCCAGCGTTGTTTTAGCAAGCCAACTGCAGCCTAGTGCTCAGTGTTCAGACTTTGCCGAGGGGATTTCACTGTGCCTTTAGTTTGCGTTCCGAGTGAGAGTAGCGCAGTATTATTGGATATCCTGAGGTTGTAGAGGTAAAAATAGGTCACCACTGAAGATGCTGGTATATTATTCATATATACATACAGTATTGCTGTTTTTACTGTATTTTTGATCAAATAAATGCAGCCTTGGTGAGCAAAAGAGACTTCATTAAAAACATTTTAAAAAACGTACTAGCCCCAAACCTTTGAACTAGGGCTGTGCGATTTGGGGGGAAATATCAAATTGCGGCTCTGGAACAGATTAATATCACGTCCACATCGCAGGCTTTGCGATTAGGAAATCGCAACGTCTCAAATCGCGATTTAGATTCGATTTCGATTAATCGCACAGCCCTACTTTGAACGGTAGTGTATAAAATATAATACATTAAACTATAATTAGCATTTCATGCCCTTTTATTTATTAATTTGCCAAGTATCTATGCATTAAGTGGGATAATGTACAGTAAGATGGCCATTTTCACAAAATAAACCTTCCTATGGTAACACAAAACTCTGATGTGCACTCTGGGAGAGTTTGTTTTGGAATAAGAGCAGTTATAACTTACACCCACCTGCGTTCATGAAGTATTTTTGTTACCAGGCAAAAAGCAGCACACCACTCAGTCATACTACAGATGTTCCTATGGTTACATACTAGAGATACAGTATGAATTATTTTACACCTAGGAGTCTAATGACCATTAAATCATAAAATAGTCTAAACAACCTCACAGGCAAAAATGAGAAGCTTTGCGTTCAACTAAAGTCGAAATGAACGAAATCGTACAATATTATTATTATATAATATATAATTATAAAATATTATATAATATATTACAATAATAACAGCTTTGGTGACATCAGCTGCTAAGAAAAATAATGGGAAATTATTATATTTAAAACTAAAATGTGTACATGTATAACTTTGTGAATATTATATTTACTTATAAGGAAAAATAATACTGACAAATAATATCTTCAGATCTTCACTTCTTATTTTGACAGTCTGCATGTTGTTTTTTTGTTCTTTTGTCCCACATGCTTCTCATTTCCTTCTTTTGTATTTCATATTTATTCCTTTTCTTTGTCACATCCATAAATCTTCACCCCGTATTCCTCTTTTCCTCACTCTCTCCCTGTCTCTCATCTGCTCACTGGCTGTTGTAGCCCCACAGGCTCGGGAAGCTTGCGGATCAGGTAGGGAAGTCCAAATGCTCCCCGCTCGATCTGGCCCTGGGTGTGGAATGGGGTCCGACTTTAGCTTTTTTTTTTTTTTTACCCCTCGGCTGCTGGGCTCTTGATCCTTGCGGTGTGTGGCTTTTGCTAATGTAGTGGAAGTGAATGGCCGGATCCGTCCCAATCAGTGTGACTAATTTATCAGACTAATTACTGACCTAATGGGCTGCTTTCCTGGGCTCAGTTTTGAACAGGAAAGATGCCCTTGGTTCGATCTTACCTCAGATCGGTGAGATCCAACCCTCCTAGAGTGAGATTGCTGCTCACCTGGACTTACACCGGGGTTAAGAGTTGCACGTTATTGTGCATCTGCAGTCATTAGTAGGGTTCCTGTAGCGTAAAGCTCTATAATCACGGCCATTAGGTGGAATCGTGCTTCCCCTCCCTCGTCCGCCACATTGTTTTGCCGTGACATCACAAACACAAGGGGCTTTGTTCGGAACACGAGTGCCTACACATGAAATATCACAGACTCCAGCACTGTGTGAGTCAGTGATCTGAAATGCGTCTCTAAGGACCGTGTCTTGTCGACAGAGCCGATTGTTGTGCTTCAGACACAGAGAGACCTCTACTGGCCTGGTTTTGTTTGGGAACTACATATAAAAGTGCTGTAGGGATGACTTGTTTTTGTAGGCCAAAACCTGGAAACAATCATTTTTAGCACTTCCAATTCCATCGTCCCAAAGTCAATGGGTTTTAGAGTAGGTTTTTGGTTAAAGGCCTGAAATTAGGTCACACGAACCCAAATTTTATTCTGCGACAAGAAACTATTCAGAAATAGCCCCTTTTTAAAACCTTTTACTTGAAAAAGGCATTTGCTAACAAGTGGCTAAATGGGACTACCATGGTTGTCTGGGACATTAAACATCTTCACACCAAACAAGTGCTTTAGCAAATAGGTGAAATTGCACTCTTTCAAACTATTCTAATTCAACATTTAGGAAAATGTTTAAATAAAGACTGAAAGACTGAACAAGACATGTAAGAATCAAACGTTTATTGGTGACAGAGCTTATTTTCTGCAATAATCCAAAATCCAATGGAAAAATCCTACTGGGTTCTTATCAAGGGAACCAGGGTGATGCTAACTTCTGTGTTGGTCTATCAAAATACATCATCTCTGCAGTACTCTATTCTAGATATTGTTTAGTTCAGATGGAGTCGGGGCGTCTGAGTGCCTCATCATGAACAGTCATTGCAAATTCAGTAATGATCAGTCATGAAAAATAATTGCATTCATTTGTAGCTTGTACTCAAAGGCAGCAGTTGTTTGTATTTCATTATTATTATTATTATTTCAGCCATTATAATTTCTCAGTTGTATTGTTCCATAAAGGCCACTTCACATGACTCATGTCGTCAGTCCTCAAATGCAGCAAACTCTTAAGGAGCGACGCGCAGTTCAAATGCTGTAACGCGACATGCTCAGACTCAGACAGTCGGTCTTGTCTTGTTTGCTGCTGACCTTGCAAAGCGTCACCAATGATTACTGGACCGTTCACCTGACATAAGGAAAATCCAAATGGAAGAGAGACTGATCCTGTATACCAAGCTGTACGATATATCGTCAAAGCAGTATTAAGACATTCTTAAAGTGATTTATGACCAAAAAAGACATGCATGTAATTGGTTTTGTTTGTTTAATAATTATTAATAAATTTAAATATTAATACTAATTTGTTTAAAAGAAAAAAGCACTAAACACAAAAAAATCTATTTTTTTTAACATTGATTAACACATTTTGTGGAAAAATAAATAAAATAAGTTTGTTTTGTTGAAAAAAAAAATTGTATAAGCGTACGAGGTGGCAAGGGGGCCTTTTACCCCACACTCAGCACAGAAGGCCCCCAGTATTGATACAAATACTTCAGTTAAAGTCATATGTTTTGCATAATGCTTAACTCAATACAACCACTTCAAGAAATATTGTACCATATTCTGTTTATTTTTTAAATAAAAGAATTCACTTTACTTTATTGCAATAAATAGGCTGTCAGTAAATTAGATCATTTTAAAAATAAAGAAAAATGTAATTAAAAAATAAAGATTCTAGATTTCTTGAAAGAGACCTCAATAATTGAATATGGCTTTACAGAAACAATACATTTTATTTTATATTATTAATATCAGTTTTAAATATGATGGTTTCATTATAAATTTGGTGATTATCTCTAACTTAAATTATACTGACCATTTAATTCTAACCATGTCATGTCAGCGAATGAAAAAATCAGCCAGATATTTATTATCATGTCAATTATTGTGCCTTTAGCCCTTGCAATTGTGTGCTTTTCCCCCAAATACTGTACTTTTACACATTCTTCAGTTATAAATCATTAACCAGACCTTTGTCCCCAAATATATTTGGCAACTTTAAAAATTCTCATTTGCAACAGTTTCAACAATTCTCATTTTAACATTTTATAAAATATCAAATATTAGATCACCTCTTCAACATTGCTGTCAGACCAGCCAAATTTTCTAGGTGCATAGTGAACCACAGATGTTTAGAAGTGCTGCAGACAGTTTTTGTGCCATCTAGTGGTTCAGAAGACAAACTTGTGAGTCTATAGCATGAAGGCGGAAAGCCTGAAATTTGGCCGTCCATGATGCTATCTGCTGAACTTTTCATGTGTAGGTCAAAGCATCATATTAAGCTTGTGTTGAGAGAAGCATTGAAGCCCTGATGGAAGTCTGAAAGAGCCTTAAAGCAGATCTAAGTTTTGGTAAACGCACTCCAGTCCACTCAGTGGCAAAAGATCTGCAATACTGGGGTGCTTTCACCGCAAGCAAACATTCAGATCTTTGAAGGGTCTGTCGGCTTTCATCTGCGGCCGTCTTTTTCTCTGCTTCACAAACACCCACACATTTGTCATCTCGGCTTCATAAACGATTCCTATTTTTCGCTCTGCTCTCTAAAACGCCTCCGTTCAAGGTATCATTTATAACTGTGTGCCTTTCAGGGTGATGGTTTAAATTTTAGGTTGTTTCTGTCTCGGTTTGCTGCTTGTCTCGCCTTTTTTTTTCTCCTCAAACTCCTTATCTTTTTCATCATTTTCAGTCTGTGATCTCTAGGCTCTGCTACTAACTAGTTAACAGCTAAAGTGGGTTGACTCAGAGGAAATTGACCAGTTCTACCCCTGCCTCAGAGAAATCACGCATAGCTAGTTCTTTGTGCAGTATAAACTGTATTAGCATGTATCTCCTGCTTAATGGCTTCATGATGTGCGTTTCAGGGGACATCAGGACCAGACCCGACTACTGTGTACGTGGACATGAGAGCTCTCCGACATGACAGGTGAGAGATTTAACAATAGACTTCACTAAGGAATCGAAGTGGAGAAATCTGCAAAATAATGATAATGGAAATGAGTCCAGTGAGCTGTGATTGGAGTACTGGTCGTCAATCGAGGTTTTCCATTGAACACTGTTGCTGCTGATATTCAGAGAGTAGAGTGAATTATGTCTGATAAAATGTTGCTATAAATGATATATATTTTCATATAATAGCAAATTAAATAAATTTCCTTTATATTGTGGTGTTACATAATGTAAAGCTGCCAGACTTAGCATACATTTCTTATTAATGATCTTATCTTTTGGTTTGTGTGCATTAAGCAAATAAAGAAAATAATCAAATTAGAGGAAGTACCTTTCATTGTAAAGTATTTAATTCACTGAATTTCCCCAAAATTGGAATGACCACATAATTAATGAAGTATAAACAATTTAGTTGTTGAAATTCCAGTAATATATATTTATCTGTTGAATTCATTCATATTTATTATATTTATTTTGTGGAATTAATTCATTTCAGCTTATTTGTTGAATTTTCATCAAATATACTTTGTGATATGTTAAAAATTTCAAACATTGTCAAAAATATTAAGTGTGATATTATAAAGGTAACATGTTTTTACTAAATTAAATAATTGGCTTTTATATTGTCATTGTACTGAAGTAATTAAAATATTATCCTTAGAATATTTACTTCAAGTTTATCAGCATATCTTCCTAAACCCTAACCTTAATTAATGTTTGTAAAACTTTCAAGTAAAAACTTTTTTTAATTTTTACAAAACTCTTTGTCAGTAGAATAAAATATCCAGAAATAGTCATGATTTCTGACCTGTGGTTGTAATGATATGAAATTCGGTAAATGTGTTACATTATATAATATCTTAAGTTAATCTGTTAATTAAATAGATATTAGATAAGGCCTTTTTTAAAAATCTTTTAAACATTGTAAAAATGTTTTAATCAATTCTCACAATAATAATAAAATAAAATCTTAAAATAATACATTTTTCAAAGTTTTTCAAAAGACAGTAGTTCAAAAAAAAAAAAAACTGGCACATGAAAATTTTGTTGTGTGATTGCTGTATATCTGCACGTTTGTTTGCACTATATGCATATGCATTTTTCTTTAGTGTTATTTTAGTCTTGCTCACTCTGAAATATAATTTTATTTATTCACGAGTGTCGGAATGTGTTTTTGAAAATGTCATTAGTCGTGTCTACACTTGTGTTTATGAGCTGATAATTGATCATTTGTCAGGAAAGCAACAGTCTGTTTGTTTTTTCCTCAGAGTGCGGCTGGTCGAGCGAGGCTCCCCACACAGTCTCCCTCTCATGGAGTCTGGAAAGGTACCTGCAGGGCGCTTTACAACTCCATCTGGCTGTGTGTTTTGAAATGATTCAATTACTGAATCTCAATTTCATCCTCTACCAGATTTTACCCGGAGTTCGAATCATCATCGCCAATCCTGAAACGAAGGGTCCGCTGGGAGATTCCCATCTAGGGGAGGTGAGTTCGTATTGCAGGATAAAGATCAAATCGAAATCATCTGTGGCTCATCTGGTTTTGTGTCTCTAGATCTGGGTTCACTGTGCCCATAATGGCAGCGGTTACTTCACGGTGTATGGCGATGAGGCCCTGCAGTCTGATCACTTCAACTCACACTTGAGCTTCGGAGACACGCAGACCGTATGGGCACGTACCGGCTACCTGGGCTTCCTCCGCAGGACCGAACTCACAGATGCAAGTGGAGGTGATCATGCATCTTTGGTCTTGTTTATTTGGTTTTAAGCTGGTTCTAGTTTAATTTGTAGTCGAAGAATGATACTAACATCCTCTGTGTTTCCAGAGCGGCACGACGCTCTGTATGTAGTGGGTTAGAGACCTCTGTGATACGCACCCACAAGAGCATCATGGAATGGTACGACAAATGGAAATGGAATGGTCATTTCCAATCTGAGTATCTTTTTTGTTAAATTTTTTTAGGGATATGTTGATATTAAAATTTGGCCATTTATTTATTTATTTAAAGATTAACATGTTTATACTATTATGTATAAATGGAATTAAAACACTTAAAACTAAACTGAACAGATTTATACTATTTTATCTAAATAAATTAAAACAAAATATAAAAATCAGATATATCAAATTGATTATTTGTTTTGATATTAAAATGTATACTAGTTATACTATTTTGTCTAAATGTAAAATAAAACAAAACTAAATTCTAATTAATTGATTTTTCAGATGTGTACTGTTTATACTATTTTGTCTAAATAAATTAAACTTAAGACTAAAATGAAATCAATTTATGTACTTATTTTGATATTAAAATGTATACTATTTACACCATTATTTCTAAATAAATTAAATTAAATACTCATTTTCATTTTAAATTCTACTTCATAATATTACGATTTACAGTATTAAAAATGTATATAAATGTTTTAGATTGTTAAAGATTAAGACATTAAATGTATTATGTTTTTTTTAAATAAAATTTAAAACATAAAACTTAATTTTTGTTCTTATCAGTTGCCACCATCAAGAGCATCACAAGGCATTTTATCGGTGAAATCTCAATCAGCAGTTGTATTTTAAACATCGCTTATGTTCTGATTGGTTAAGATATATTTTGTCATCTCAAATCAGCAGTTGTCACTGAAAATAAATGACTTCCTGTAACTTTGTCACTACTAATCACTGTCAGTGTGAACGGTCCTTTAGAAAAGACGCGTTTTAAATGAACTGATCTGTTTGTTTCAGTGCGGTGTTTCCCTGGACCAACCTGCTGGTGGTGGTCGTGGAGCTGGAAGGTTCAGAACAGGAAGCTTTGGACCTGGTTCCTTTAGTCACCAACGCAGTCCTGGAGGAGCACTACCTGATCGTAGGCGTGGTGGTGGTGGTGGACATTGGTGTCATTCCCATAAACTCTCGTGGAGAGAAACAGAGGATGCACCTGCGAGACGGCTTTCTAGCTGATCAGCTGGACCCCATTTATGTGGCATATAACATGTAGCATGAGTGTACGCGTGGATGCTGTCGCGTGGATGTTTGCGTGCGTGTGTTTTGCCGACTGCACATGGCCGTTTGGGCGATCTTCCGTGAATGGACACTTACTGGGAGAAACTTTGAGAAGTGATAACAAAGCCAAACAGAAAAATGGATTGGCAGAAGGATTCGGTCTCCTGAAGGGAAGAAGAATCGCCTCTGCTTCTGCTTGTGTGCACGTCGCTTTGTTCTCACGCGAGGTGTTGCGACATCGTTCATTTTTATTCCGCCCTACGTGAGCGAAGGCTATTTTTAAGTATCTGCATACTGTGGCGAAATGTGCATTTTAAGTTTCCCGATGATTCGGAGTAACTTGTTGAAAGTAGACGTGCTATCAGACACTCTGGACGCCATTTCTGTCCATTCATTTTAAAAAAGGTACAACGCCAACTTGTTACATTTGTACGTACGTTCCAGCCGTCCTTCAATAACTTGCCGCTTTAGTTTTTCAACCTTTGTAAATGTTCTCAAACAGCAGGAAGCAAAAACGAAAAAAAAAAAAAAAACGTCCCCTGCTTTTTCGATTCCTCCATGTTTAATATCATTGTACAAAGCTGAAGGTGAACACAAAGTCAGTTGATATTGTGTAATTATGTACAGATAATAGTTCTTATTTATTTTGCTCTTTTTAGAATTGGTGAGCGAAGACATTTGGAAATGTTTTCCTCATTAAATAATAATATTGCTAAAATAAAACATTGTATCATCTTGAGTGAGTAGTATCACATCAAGTCTATGTAAAAATATAAATATACATACAAATATATATAAAAAAGAAATATATATAAAATAAGATCTACGAATCACCAATGATACATTTCTAATGCAGTACTTCCCACTTGCATGGTGTCTGTTGTAGAGAGAATCAACTGACCGATAGAACGGTTAATAATAGGAACTCATAGGACTTTCAAGACGATGTCAAACATGCGGAACAAATGCTTCGGTTTTTCTAATTGAAACTAAATCGCTACGCCCTTTCCGAGAGAAAACGAACCCTAAAAATGTGCCTGGAATTTTGTTTACATTTGCTTTTATTACTCAAATCTGCACCGCAATTTGTTACGTTGTGTTTTTATTTGCTTGGATTGATTTTTTTACTTGTTTTGTACCGTTTTTCTATGATTGCATCATTATTTATTGACACAGGCTTTTTACACAAGTGCATTTTTGTTTACTGCTCAAACATCACAGATACCATTCGTAAGAGTTCGAATTATAATTTAACGGACTAACACAGATTTTGGTATTTTCATAAAATAACATTTACGTTAGTGCCTCGCAGTTTACTTTCAACCCCGATCAGCTCACGTGAAATGGATTAAGCTCTTGTTTTTAATCGGCTTATGTGGGGAAATACATGCTAAATAAATGCCGGCATATTGTTGGCACAAGCAATATGGGCAAAGCATGAAACATGACCGACTGGCTATAATAATGCAAACAATGGTGAAGAGAGAAAAAGAAGCGTGCCATTATTTTTCATTGTACCAGCTGCATTTCGAAGGGACGTGTTTTCTGAACTCCCTTTCATAGCGCTGGCAGTCCATTAAATCGCCATGACAAAACGGGAGTATTCAGGATTTTATTCTTTTCTTTTCCACATCCTGCCTCAGCGATTCATAATACGGCAGGCGTCAGACAATAATTGTGGAGATCTACTGCAGTCAGATATCAGCACCCTCTGGCCTCATTGAGGTCGGTCTTTATTTAACGCAACCTTTTATTTTATTTTGGAATCGGTGTCTTTGACGTCAATACCGTGTATGGGAACGGAGTTTACCCTTATTCAGAAAGTAACGATGCAATGTCCTCTTTTTTTTTGTCTGTTTGTTTTTTAAAAAATGAAGGAAAGAAGTCTTAACCTGTTCGGAAGCTTTAGTGTTGTCATTCTCATACAAGCAGAAATGTTTCCCCATTTTGAAAAGAAAAAAATGTGCACATAACTTTCAACCTGTGAAGTTATTTCCCTTTTTTTGTTGGAAACCTGGACTTGCGTGAGAGAGTCTGCATGGTGTATGTAAATATTGTTGGTTAGAGAAAAAATGATTACAGAACCGGCTTTCTGACAAGATGCGCATTAAATATCGCATGCGATTTATCGTGCAGCCCTAATTAAAATGTATACTATCTATACTATTATGTCTAAACAAATTAAATAAAATACTCAAAAAATAAAGTAATCATTTTAAATTCTACAAGTGAACTTGGCCATCATAATGTTACGATTTACAGTATTAAAAATGTATATAAATGTTTTAGATTGTTAAAGATTAAGACATTAAATGTATTATGTTTTTTTTAAATAAAATTTAAAACATAAAACTTAATTTTTGTTCTTATCAGTTGCCACCATCAAGAGCATCACAAGGCATTTTATCGGTGAAATCTCAATCAGCAGTTGTATTTTAAACATCGCTTATGTTCTGATTGGTTAAGATATATTTTGTCATCTCAAATCAGCAGTTGTCACTGAAAATAAATGACTTCCTGTAACTTTGTCACTACTAATCACTGTCAGTGTGAACGGTCCTTTAGAAAAGACGCGTTTTAAATGAACTGATCTGTTTGTTTCAGTGCGGTGTTTCCCTGGACCAACCTGCTGGTGGTGGTCGTGGAGCTGGAAGGTTCAGAACAGGAAGCTTTGGACCTGGTTCCTTTAGTCACCAACGCAGTCCTGGAGGAGCACTACCTGATCGTAGGCGTGGTGGTGGTGGTGGACATTGGTGTCATTCCCATAAACTCTCGTGGAGAGAAACAGAGGATGCACCTGCGAGACGGCTTTCTAGCTGATCAGCTGGACCCCATTTATGTGGCATATAACATGTAGCATGAGTGTACGCGTGGATGCTGTCGCGTGGATGTTTGCGTGCGTGTGTTTTGCCGACTGCACATGGCCGTTTGGGCGATCTTCCGTGAATGGACACTTACTGGGAGAAACTTTGAGAAGTGATAACAAAGCCAAACAGAAAAATGGATTGGCAGAAGGATTCGGTCTCCTGAAGGGAAGAAGAATCGCCTCTGCTTCTGCTTGTGTGCACGTCGCTTTGTTCTCACGCGAGGTGTTGCGACATCGTTCATTTTTATTCCGCCCTACGTGAGCGAAGGCTATTTTTAAGTATCTGCATACTGTGGCGAAATGTGCATTTTAAGTTTCCCGATGATTCGGAGTAACTTGTTGAAAGTAGACGTGCTATCAGACACTCTGGACGCCATTTCTGTCCATTCATTTTAAAAAAGGTACAACGCCAACTTGTTACATTTGTACGTACGTTCCAGCCGTCCTTCAATAACTTGCCGCTTTAGTTTTTCAACCTTTGTAAATGTTCTCAAACAGCAGGAAGCAAAAAAAAAAAAAAAAAAAAACGTCCCCTGCTTTTTCGATTCCTCCATGTTTAATATCATTGTACAAAGCTGAAGGTGAACACAAAGTCAGTTGATATTGTGTAATTATGTACAGATAATAGTTCTTATTTATTTTGCTCTTTTTAGAATTGGTGAGCGAAGACATTTGGAAATGTTTTCCTCATTAAATAATAATATTGCTGATATAAAACATTGTATCATCTTGAGTGAGTAGTATCACATCAAGTCTATGTAAAAATATAAATATACATACAAATATATATAAAAAAGAAATATATATAAAATAAGATCTACGAATCACCAATGATACATTTCTAATGCAGTACTTCCCACTTGCATGGTGTCTGTTGTAGAGAGAATCAACTGACCGATAGAACGGTTAATAATAGGAACTCATAGGACTTTCAAGACGATGTCAAACATGCGGAACAAATGCTTCGGTTTTTCTAATTGAAACTAAATCGCTACGCCCTTTCCGAGAGAAAACGAACCCTAAAAATGTGCCTGGAATTTTGTTTACATTTGCTTTTATTACTCAAATCTGCACCGCAATTTGTTACGTTGTGTTTTTATTTGCTTGGATTGATTTTTTTACTTGTTTTGTACCGTTTTTCTATGATTGCATCATTATTTATTGACACAGGCTTTTTACACAAGTGCATTTTTGTTTACTGCTCAAACATCACAGATACCATTCGTAAGAGTTCGAATTATAATTTAACGGACTAACACAGATTTTGGTATTTTCATAAAATAACATTTACGTTAGTGCCTCGCAGTTTACTTTCAACCCCGATCAGCTCACGTGAAATGGATTAAGCTCTTGTTTTTAATCGGCTTATGTGGGGAAATACATGCTAAATAAATGCCGGCATATTGTTGGCACAAGCAATATGGGCAAAGCATGAAACATGACCGACTGGCTATAATAATGCAAACAATGGTGAAGAGAGAAAAAGAAGCGTGCCATTATTTTTCATTGTACCAGCTGCATTTCGAAGGGACGTGTTTTCTGAACTCCCTTTCATAGCGCTGGCAGTCCATTAAATCGCCATGACAAAACGGGAGTATTCAGGATTTTATTCTTTTCTTTTCCACATCCTGCCTCAGCGATTCATAATACGGCAGGCGTCAGACAATAATTGTGGAGATCTACTGCAGTCAGATATCAGCACCCTCTGGCCTCATTGAGGTCGGTCTTTATTTAACGCAACCTTTTATTTTATTTTGGAATCGGTGTCTTTGACGTCAATACCGTGTATGGGAACGGAGTTTACCCTTATTCAGAAAGTAACGATGCAATGTCCTCTTTTTTTTTGTCTGTTTGTTTTTTAAAAAATGAAGGAAAGAAGTCTTAACCTGTTCGGAAGCTTTAGTGTTGCCATTCCCATACAAGCGGAAATGTTTCCCCATTCTGAAAAGAAAAAAAAAATGTGCACATAACTTTCAACCTGTGAAGTTATTTCCCTTTTTTTGTTGGAAACCTGGACTTGCGTGAGAGAGTCTGCATGGTGTATGTAAATATTGTTGGTTAGAGAAAAAAAGACAAAAAAACTAAATTTATTTTGTATGGTGCAGGTGTGTTTGAAATTATGTTTTGTACACGATTAAAAGTATTAAATTACACTTTTATAGAAGCCTGCTTTGGCCTACATTCACAAAATATGGTGCAATAAAGTGCTTTGATTGGTAAATTTGTCTTTTTAAATTTGCGATATAAAAAAGACGCAAAACTATCAACGGTTGATATGTTTTATTTATACATAGTACTGTTACATAATGTAATGCAAGAAAGGGGAAACTTTAACACCACATTTTAATTCGTATGCACATGAAAGACAGGTGTTTGTATAGCAGACTTCTCGCTGGGTGTCAGAAATTCTCAGTAGTCATTACTCTGTCCGCATAAATATAAGTTAAAAAATAAATTTTAAAAAAGGGTTACTTGCAATTACAAAGTGGTGTCAAATTACCCTAGAAAACCAAAAAGGAGACATACTGCATCACCGATGACACGCAAGAACGTAGACTAACGTAGAGCCCAAAATAAGGTACACAACCTGGTTTCATGCACACTGAAATGGAACATATTACCGTTATATCACAAATATTTTTTTTTTCCTTTACAGATTGACTTTATCAAATACATAGTTAATGTGTTCATGAAATGTACATATGCTAACGTGCAAACGTCATCAGTCACGGTTAGCTACAAACAGTTATTTACATGTAGTGCAACAGTGAGGTTGGGAAGGGAGCGAGAGAGAGAAAGAGAAATAGGGCAGGACAGAAACCTGAATGTATCGG